TCCAATCCTAACCATTCTATGAGTCTATGATATATAAGAGGTGTTTTGAACTCTGAAGCAGAGGATGTAGGATGCTAAAATGTACACGTAAACTTTGGACCAAATGAAATAGTCTGTCTTTGGTTTCTGGATATTGGTGCTTCCAAACACTGCAGTACAGTAAAAGCATATCTGTCTGTGATTGATTGTCTCTGCCCTGACACAGCTCAGTAACGTTTTTTTTCCTCAGGAACTTGCTTGTCATGAAGTGAAAACTGGGTGAAGTTTAACTCTGGCTGTCGATCTGATACCAAATTTTGTCCTTGGTAGGACAGGTACTTGGGAGAATTAAAAGATGTGCACGTGTCGCATAGGACAAAATGTGGATGGTTGCATTTTTAATGTTGGTGAACCATAAATTATATCTTTAGAATTAGAAGATAAGATTAGATAAAATTAGACACCATAATTCCCAACAAAGGATCTGTGTAAGCTGGAAGCCAGCGATACTGACACCATGTGGGATTACTGGGACAGTTTTTAAGGAATTTCATACTCATTTGTGTACATGCACACACTGTGTCATATATATGAGGCTGATACATTTTCTGTATATATTAACATTTATCTGTATATACATACATCTGTATCTCATACATACACATTTATCTGTATGTACATACATCTATATCTCATACATACACATATATCTGTATATACATACATCTATATACATACATATTAACATTTATCTGTATATACATACATCTATATCTCATACATACACATATATCTCAGATGTGTTTAAGAGTAAGACTGTATGTGTGTATAATATACACATAAATAAAACACAGGCACGCACACGTAGTACCTCATTCTGTTAGTGACAAAGGGAAAAGCACATATAGGGATTTTTTGGGTGCTTTTCTTGAAGCAGTAATCACATGTAAGTTCCTCTGCTGTGTGTAAAGAGTAACGCTGTCTATCTTTTGCTTAAATTTGTTTTTTTAAGTCTCATTTGGAGAAAAGTAGATAATTGCTTGCTGATTAATTGCAAAAAAAGGAAAAGTAATTTTAAATGTGAATAGTTTTGTTAGTTACACTTAGTTTAGTTACACTTAGTGTTAGTTACACTTTTTCTAACGCAAACAAATAAATAGAAGCCTGTTTTTTCTTAGTGCCACTTTTCATGAAATAATTATATGGAAGCGTAACTAATGACAGTGAAGTTTTGCAAGATTTTTATGGTGAACTGCTTTGATCTATCCATTTTGTTCATTAACTTTCATTAACAAGAATTTGAAAGAGCATATTAGTCAATATAACTCTTTTTAATCCTAGCTTTTTGATGGTGACTGATTTGATACTACAGATTTTAGTGTGTTGGACTCTTCACTAAACTACTGCTCTCTCTTTTAACGCTGCTTTTCCCTGTGTGATTAGGATACGAAGCAAGAATGGAAAGCAGAACATGCCATTATCCACAGCAACTGTGTCTATGGTTCACAGTGTCCCAGAGCTGAAAGTTAGCTCTGAGGTAAGTACCCTCATGCTTTCTTTATTCAAACCTTTCACTGTAGCTCCACAGTTGAGAAGCTTAATTATCAGAGGTTCCTCAGTGGTCAATATACTTCATACAGAAAGTTTGGCTTCCCTTTGAAGAGGAGTTTGGTGTTGAACATCAGTAGTCCAGGGTTTTTGTGTGTTTACCCTAATGCAGTTTCATTGTTACCAGATTTTATAGTGAGGGGTTTTTTAAGAGCTGTGCACTGAAAAGATGGCACTTCTGTGACAGCAATGTGACAACTTCAGTGTTTTTGTCCCCAAGAATAAGCAGTTTGTGGAAAGTTCAGTTTCCATTAGCTGAAACGTGTTCAAAGCTTGCAATGTCTTTGAAACCTGGCTTCACCTTGAAATTGGTCCCACTAGATACAGTAGAGCTAGCTTGTTTGCAGCTTACCTCTATGTTAAATCTATTTCATTGTTTTTGACATGTTCCATTCAGCTGACTTACCAAAATATGCTTGTTCATCCTCCAGTGTCTCTAGAGGAAAGAGCATGTTGATTTTGAAGATTATTTTTAAGATAAACATTCTATTTATCTTCCTTACAAACTTGATCTTTTTTTAAACTTTTTATATTGCTGCTCATTCCCCACACCTCTTCAAAGAACACCGATAAGAAGAAATCATAGAATCATAGAATGGTTTGGATTGGAAGGGACCTTAAAGATCACCCAGTTCCAATCCCCCTGCCATCAGCAGGGACACCTTCCACTAGACCAGGTTGCTCAAAGCCTCATCCAGCCTGGCCTTCAACACTTCCAGGGAGGGGGCATCCACAACTTCCTTGGGCAACCTGTTCCAGTGTCTGACCACCCTCACAGTGAAAAACTTCCTAATATCTAATCTGAACCTCTCCTCTTTCAACTTAAACCCATTTCCCCTTGTTTTGTCATTAACTGCCCTTATGAAAAGTCCTTCCCCAGCTTTCTTGTAGCCCCTTCAGGTACTGGGAGGCCGCTATAAGATCTCCCCGGAGCCTTCTCTTCTCCAGGCTGAACAGCCCCAACTCTCTCAGTCTGTCTTCATAGGAGAGGTGCTCCAGCCCTCGCATCATCCTGGTGGCCTCCTCTGGACTTGTTCTAGCTGCTCCAGGTCTTTCTTATGTTGGGGGCTCTTATGTAAAGATATAAGCAGCTGGAAGTGTCCCTCTCGTAGAGGAGCATTTCTAAGGGCAGTTTGCACTTGACTCCTGCTTCTTCGTAATGCTCCACTTAACTTTGTGTTTAAGTTTAGCTGTCTGGGGAGTAACACTGCAGCTTGCTGTCAGAAGTGGTTAAAGTTAACATAGAGCTTAATATGGTATTTCGAAAGTTGGTAAATATGCACAAGAGAAGTAAACTTTAACTTCAGTTTATGGGAGTATAAGGTCTCTGATATCAGTGTCTGCATAGAATCTAACTGTTTCTCTGAAGGCATGTATGCTTTAAGCTCAGGTTGACAGTTATAATCTTGCTGTCATTAGCAACTTCAGTTTAATACTCAGATTATTTGTACCTAATGGTTACAAAATTGCTGAACAGAGCAACCAAAGTTTTCAGACCTATTGAGCTTGTCCTTTGTGTACCCCAAAGCTACTGCTGTTTTGTCTCAAGACTCTTGGCCTTAAATTAATTCAGTAGTTCATTATTTATTAAGTTGTTATTTATTATTTTGGAAATTGTTGTGTTGAGCTTATCAATTTTAAGCATTACTAGTCCCACAGAGATCTGAGAGTAGTCTTTGGGACAGCCTACAAAGCTGCCATCACTACAGTTATCTTGAAGCATCATTTCTTTTTTCAATTACTTTGTAGCAGAACTTCTAAAGTTTACAATACGCAAAAGACAATAAACCTGATGTATTTCTTTTAAGCTAAGCTTCGTTGTGAATATTGTTACAGCAAGCTGAGCAGCTAGGAAGAGAAGATCAACAGCGACTACATCGAAATCGAAAACTTGTACTTATGGTAGATTTGGACCAGACGTTGATCCATACTACAGAACAGCACTGCCAACAAATGTCTAATAAGGTAAGTACTTAGTGTTTACTTTCAAGCCAAAGTATCAACAGGAATATTTCTAATATTCTTGAGACCAGCTCTGAAGAGAAGGACTTGGGAGCGGTGGTGAGTGAGAAGCTGAACACGAGCAGACAATGTGCGCTCGCAGCCCAGAAGGCCAATAACCATATCCTGGGCTACATCGAGAGAAGCGTGTCCAGCAGGTCGAGGGAGGTGATTCTGCCCCTCTACTCCGCTCTTTTAAAGCCCCACCTGGAGTGCTGTGTCCAGTTCTGCAGCCCCCAACATAAGAAAGACATGGACCAGTTAGAACAAGTCCAGAGAAGGGCCACCAGGATGATGCGAGGGCTGGAGCAGCTCTGCTGTGAGGACAGGCTGAGAGAGTTGGGGCTGTTCAGCCTGGAGAAGAGAAGGCTCCGGGGAGATCTTATAGCGGCCTCCCAGTACCTGAAGGGGCTACAAGAAAGCTGGGGAGGGACTTTTCATAAGGGCAACTAATGACAGAACAAGGGGAAATGGGTTTAAGCTGAAAGAGGGGAGGTTTAGATGAGATATTAGGAAGAAGTTCTTCACTGTGAGGGTGGTCAGACACTGGAACAGGTTGCCCAAGGAAGTTGTGGATGCCCCCTCCCTGGAAGTGTTGCAGACCAGGCTGGATGAGGCTTTGAGCAACCTGGTCTAGTGGAAGGTGTCCCTGCTGATGGCAGGGGGATTGGAACTGGGTGATCTTTAAGGTCCCTTCCAATCCAAACCATTCTATGATTCTATGAATATTTAAATGAAGTTTCTTTAAGAAAATGTTCTGTGGTTAAATAAACTTGTAGTTGAAGACTAGCAGAAAGTGAGAAAATTCTGAAATATGTTCATTTTTTTCCTCTACATTTAAATTGATGGCTTGCTTTCTTTGGTTCATGCTATCCTGTACTTTTCCATCCCAGTCACTCTAAGTGAGAAGTTTCAGGTAGCTATTTTTAATCTCTGCTTTCCTTATGCAATTCACAGGCTGAGTTCTCAGTAATGAGACTTTTTTCCCCTCCAAGTCTGAGGCGGATATAGTGAATTACTATTCAGAGTACTATTCAGTACTATTCTCAAGTTGTTGGTTTGGGGTTTTTTTCAGATTGATTTGCTGTGAGTAAAGATTTAAATGAAAGTTATCTTGATCATAAACTTTTCAACAGTGCAGCTTCCTGCTTTTGAAAAACTTAGTGTTGGAGTGCCTGGCAGGGAGCACAAATGTGTTTTGAATTTTATTCATCTACATAATCTTTGTGGCCAAAACTTGCTTTAGCCTAGTCAGACTGAATAAAAGTAGCAGCAGTGATGGATAGAGGGCACTTTTGGAATGCTGCTATCCCAGGCTGGATGAGGCTTTGAGCAACCTGGTCTAGTGGAAGGTGTCCCTGCTGCTGGCAGGGGGGTTGGAACTGGATGAGGTTTAAGGTCCCTTCCAATCCAAACCATTCTGTGATTCTATTTTATTTTGGTATTTTGATAATATGAAACATGTTTTTTTCTTTTAGGGAATATTTCATTTCCAGTTAGGTCGAGGTGAGCCTATGTTGCACACTCGTTTGCGTCCTCATTGTAAGGAATTCCTGGAAAAAATTGCCAAGCTGTATGAATTACATGTTTTTACTTTTGGCAGCAGACTGTATGCACATACGATTGCAGGTGAGTAGTATGTTACATTTAACAATATTTATGTAGTTAGCCTTCATACTCCTATAACTAGTTCTGTGGTTGTTTTCAAGTATTTCTTCTTTGTTTTGTGCAAAACCACTTCCTAAATAGTCCTGTAAGCACAATTCTTGGCTTGTTTACAGGGCAGTGCCTGTATGGCCTGTAATTTTAGAAATAATCCTTTTTTTTTTTTTTTCCTCCCATCAGTCATGTGCTGTTTTTGCTACACTGATGGTTAGAGAATCAAATTGTGGTGTGAGAACTAGTGCCTTCCTATTGAATTAACTAAGAAATTCTGCTGAATGGCTCTAAAAATGATCTGCAACATCACTTGTCTTAGAAAGCTAAAGTAACAATTCCATAAAAATCAACAATGTGAAATTATCTCCTCCCATGGGGAGTACCATCCCAACCCCCCATCCCCACTCTGTCCTTTCACCAAAGGAAGTTTGGCTGCTATAAATCGATTCACAGCAGTTCTGTTTGCAGTGCTGGAGATGAGATGTGCTTATTTGAGGAAGAGCATTGATCTAACAGTATTTTCCCATACTCTCTCAAGAACTTATCTATTTTCTCCTAGTAACTGAAAACTTGCATTTAAATTATAGCAATAGTAGTCTGTGCCATGGGTTGCAGGCTGAAATGTCTTGGGGTTTTTTTTTCAACAAGCATAAAAGAAACCTACCCTGTTATGCAAGTGTATGGATCAAATTCACGTTACACATGTGACCATGTGTTTAAACTGCAAAATTTGCTTTCACCCCATCTTGAGTCTTCCTAGACAGAGTAACATTTTTACCTCACGCTTCCCTTTATTAAGTCTGACAGACTAAGACAATATAATTAACGATGTTGTAGGTTATGACTATGCATATCAAACTGTCCTTGATGCTCTTCCATGTCTCATTTCTTATTTTTTTAAAGCTTTTTTTAGGTTGGCTTTCACATCTGCTTCTTTGTGTCATGTTGCCACGAGTGCCATGAGCAATGCTATCCCAATATCCCACTTCTTTGGACAAGAAATGAAGATTCAAAAATATTTAGAGCTGTCCTAGTTAGCTCTAGAACAGTTTAGAAAAGAATTGTCTGGTTACACATGTTAAATAAGGCACAGAAGATGCTTATAATCACAAATATAAGATAATTCTGTAATCAGAAGACACAATACCTATTTGTGGTCTCCAACTAATTCTCCTTGAAAGAAAGTTCAGGAGAAGCATGTCCTGTCCTACCCATCCAAGTGAATGTTTCTACATTACTCAGTATTTATTGGCAGAGTTGTTTGAAGACAAACTTCCTAAAGCTTTGGCAGTCTCACTGTTGGTTTAGACGTTGTGTCCTGGTAATAAGTTAACACTTTTGTACCCTGCTGTCCTTCTTAGTGTGTGGTTATTTCTTTTGTAGCAAAAGGGGGAATGGTTTTCTTATATACTAGGCGTAAATACCCAGTAGAGGAGAGTGGGTGGGCCAGACTTCCTCACTTGGATCTATCTGCCAGAATCTGTCTATGGCCTGAGATCAGGAGATCCGTGCTAAATAAGGTCAGAAGACATGTAGTTTCAGAGCCAAGGAGAAGAATCAGTTGCAGAAGTAGTTAACTCATGATGTGTAAGTGCTTTCCCAACGATTTGATCTTCTCTCAATGTGCAAGTCCTGTGTTTGCTTATTTTAGTCTGAGCTAACATTTGGATTACCCTGCAGTCCCCATGCTGGCACAGACTGATACTTATAATGTGACAAGCTTCTTTGTGGTCATCATCCTTGAGCTCCTCCATCTGTTCCGTAGAGGAAATAGCCACCAAATGAGCAAATTCTAGTATTGCTGCATTTAACTACAAGTAGGTGACTCACAGTGATGATGATAGTTTCACCTGAAATATGTTGGTGTGGAGAAACAGTCGATACAGCCTTTGGTCTGCATGTCTTACCTGTGTAACCAAGATGCAGTAACAGAGAAATATGTAGCTAATGCACAGAGAGAACACTTGGTGGCAGTACTGGTTAAATGATACCTCACAGAAAGCTCAGTTTGATATTTTACCAATACCCCTATGTTACGTAAAGGAAGGACTTGTCAGAAAATGCCAGGAATCTTTTTTTTCCCCCTTATGAAAAAGGTTGTTTTCTTATGTCCTCCATATCCATCCTATATTTCTCTGCGAAATCTAAACTCTGAGCTGCTTCTTCCTTGTCCTGCAAGGCTTTTTCCTTATTTTACAAACATGCCATCTTGCAAGTCCTTTTCATTCATTCCAGCTGACTCCAATGAGCTGTTACCTGGGATTAGCTGAAGGGGGCCTACAAGAAAGCTGGGGAAGGACTTTTCATAAGGATAGTTAATGACAAAACCAGGGGAAATGGGTTTAAACTGAAAGAGGGGAGGTTTAGATTAGATATTAGGAAGAAGTTCTTCACTGTGAGGGTGGTCAGACACTGGAACAGGTTGCCCAAGGAAGTTGTGGCTGCTCCTCCCTGGAAGTGTTGAAGGCCAGGTTGGATGAGGCTTTGAGCAACCTGGTCTAGTGGAAGGTGTCCCTGCTGCTGGCAGGGGGATTGGAACTGGATGATCTTTAAGGTCCCTTCCCATCCAAACCATTCTATGATTAGCTGGTATTTGTAAACACTGTTTGTGTCTGCTGAAGTCATTTATCCTAAACTCTTTCTTAATTTGACACGCTTACAAAGTAGTATCTTGTAGTATGTTTATGAAGATGTATTTTTTTATTTTATAATCTAGAGCTTCCTATGGTATTTCTCTTCTACCTAATTATAATTGTTACTTAATTTTTTTCCCTACTCTACAGAAGGAAAGTTCAGTGTATTTAATACTGAAGTCAGCTTAAATGTTGGTTATAAAAGTCAACACTGCTGTGAATTTGGAGTTCAGAGGCCACTAGGCAGCAATAATGCAAGGTGAAATCACCCTTAAGATTTAGGGTGCAATTCAGAAAGTAGGACTAAGTTGAGGGCATTCCTATGTATGGTTTATTCCAGGAAGTATATTACAGTATGTATTTCAATAAATAACTGACAGAATATGTGCCTATATGGAATCACCAGTGTCTGAAGGTCTCCAATGCTATTGAAAGATTGTGTCAATGGCTCTTTCCATGTTTTAAAGTAGGACCTGAAGTAGAACTGAGGTTGATTTGATTCTTCAGAAATTGAATTTTAGATTTATTTTTAGAAGGACTTCATGTTGGATCTTACTGTTAGATCATTTCTACTAGGCACTGCTATTTACCTCAATCTGCCTCTCAGATCTGAGTCTTCCCTAACGTTAGTTGGTTACTTTTGAACATTGCAACTTGTGATGATTTTTTTTTTAAAACTTTTTACAAGTCTTTATTTACAAGTTTACTTTTTGGAGAGAGTGTATATAAGATCAGGTAACACAGCTTGATAAGACTGCACATGCAAAGACACAGTTTGAGATACTGGAAAACAAACTGGAGGGAATAGTCTCTGCTGGGTAAGTCTACTGGTTAGTCACATGTAATATAGCAGTCAAAGGGTAATGATAGGGTCTTCTGTTTGTTCAAGAAGCTACTTAGAGGCATGCATAGGACATTGTCTAATTTATGAGAATAAATGGAAGCTCAGTTTGGATTTCATAGAATCATAGAATCCAAAATTCTGCCTGTGGCACCAGTCTCTGAGCAATGTGTTAATTTGGAGAATCTTCCTGTTTCTGTCATTGAACCTCCCTGCTACTGAAGGGATGGAGGAAAAAACTACCTGTGTCCCTGATCCTGCAACCAATTTCCCTAATGATTTGAAGCCCTTTTTAATTGTTTTTGTGCTTTTCTCAGTAATCTCGTCACTACCAGCCTTTTTCTTCAATCATTGACTTCTACGAAAGGCTGTATTGGTTTGGTGTTTTTTTTAACATGCTTACAAAATGAAAACTTCATCAACATTTATCCTTCTACTGGAATGATTTGTGCAAACTGATACTTCTCCAATAAAAAAATATATATATTGAGAAAAAAATTTTGTTATCAACACTATGGCAGTAAACTGTGACCATAATAATTTTTCAGGATATGGTGGTGCAAAAAGGATCAGAATAAATAAATAAATGAAACAACGTTAAAGTATATCTCAGGAACACTTTTGCTGTTTCTGTATCCTTGATGAGTTTACACATAGACCTTTTCATTGCTCTGAAGTCATAGAAACTCCCAACAAAATGCCCCCACAGAAAAGTGACCTCATCTAAACAGACAGGGTTTTGGTGATCTGTATTAACTTTTCTTAAAGAAAAAACCACCAGTACTTTGGAAGGTATCATCCATTTGAAACTTGCAGCTTCATTATTAAAGGTTAATATCCAAACAATACACTATCATCAAATGCTAAATCTTTCGATAGGCAGGTTGTGAAAAGACTTTTGTTTTGAAGAACAGAGTTTTTTATAATGAGTTTCCCAGTTCTTTTTGTTACTGAAAGCAGTATAACAACAATAGGAAGTTGTGGATGCCCCCTCCCTGGAAGTGTTCAAGGCCAGGCTGGATGAGGTTTTGAGCAACCTGGTCTAGTGGAAGGTGTCCCTGCTGATGGCAGGGGGGTTGGAACTGGATGAGCTTTAAGGTCCCTTCCAACCCAAACCATTCTATGATTCTGTGATTCTAAGTAAAATCTTGGCCTTTACTTAGTTTTATCTTGGAGGGCATATCTGCATCTACTTATTTTTCATGTAAAGTTTTTATTTCTTCAGATTTATGTTGTGTCTGCAATCATAAAACCAAATAAAAGTTAAAGTTTTAACTAACAGTATGTAATCTAGCTGCTAGACATCTTGTTTGCTCTTGCATGGGGTAGAAATGCTAAATTGGTTAGTTTAATAGCCAACACAGCCTTTTCAAAGACTTAAAGATGATATGAACACACTATTGAATAAAACAAACGATGTATGACAAATGAAATGTCACCTGCCATTTCCATGAAATCCAAGAACATCAGGATTACAACTGTTATATTGATTCAGTTGGCCAGGCAACATCCAAAAGAAACCAAACCCTTTAAGACGTGAAGAACTTCTATAAAAGAAGACCAGTGCTGTTTTTTGTAGTGCTATTCAAGTAGCTTAGCTGTGAAAGACCCAACTCTTTGAAGATGGGTTTTTATCTTTGCAGGTGCATCTCTGGTGAGCTGTATCCTCAGTGTATTTTTAGTGAATTATCAAGGGGACAAAAGTATTAAAGCTAGTAAGTCTTTATCAAAGCATGATGGACAAGCTCCAGAACACTGCCTCACCTCTGATCCCTGGCAGCCAGGGTTTCTGTGTTTGGGTTTTTTAGCTCAACTTCCCTTTTCTTACCATTTTAACTTAGTTGAATGAATGCCTCATTGTGATTTTTGCTGTTTAATCAGTGCACTCCTGTCCAATTTAGTGTAGAGAGTCTCTCTCTATTCACATAATTAGCAGAAGAGAATTTGGTTGGGGAGAAGAGCAAATTGTGTGACAGCTTATGTAGTTTGTCAAAAATATCTGTGTGTACAGCAATAAATCTTTGTAGCTAATTCTCTCAATTCATTATGCCTAGGTACTGCAAGGGTCTCACTACAGGGGATGATTCTACGAGTTTGCAGCAATTCTTAAGCATAGTCGGGTGAGTTAAGGTTGAACCTCTGTCCTTAACTCGGAATTTTCTTGCTTTTATGGGTTTTAAGTTATTCCAATGACACATGAATATTAAATACATACAGGATCAACTTTTCAGAAGTGGTGACTGATTTATTTTTATTTTTTTTAATTTATACTCTCTGTTTTTGAAGACCCAACTTAACGTACTCCGGAGAGCTGGACTTCTAAAAGGAGTTAAACATGCCTTCTGTGCAAATCTCAAAGCTCCTTGAAAGAAAATTAAAGTTGATCCTTAGTCTGTAGTCATTTTGCACTCTGGCTATAAATAGCCATCATTTAAAATAAAATAAAGTAAAACTTTAAACCATTGTTGCCAGATAGATATTGACTGCCTTGTATTATTCAGAAGAAAAATGAGAAGTTGATGCGAACTTCAACACAAATTCAGTAAAATGAAAAATTCAGATTAGCATGCAAAGTGCCAGTTTCTTTCTAAGCGACTATGTGGCTGTGATCTGCTTATGAAGATGAACTTCATTACTGGAGGCTAGGTTCAGGAGCATGTGCATGTGTGTTTGTACACCCAAGTCACCATTTTCCTACATAGCGGTGTATTTATCTTGCTTTAAGATCAGCTAGCACAACTTCTCCTGTTTTGTTTTTGGTTTGTCTTTTTGGGCTTTTTTTTTTGTTTGTTTGTTTGTTTTTAAAGAGTGCAGTCAGAAAAGTTACTGCAGCTGGGCCTAAATATTTCTAGGAATCCCAAAATATATTCATTATATGTAAATGTATTCAAGTATTTGTTAGAGGTACAACTTAAAACCTACAATTGCAAGAGCTCCGGCTGAAAGTGTCCCTTAACTTGCCCACTGTCCTTAAGTATTGCAGCACATTGCCGACTCTTGTGAGACTTCTCTGCAGTCCCTAGGCATAATGAGCTAAGGAGAGCATTTAGCTTTAAAGAACCACCTCTAGAGATAAATGTAAGTTGAAAAAAAAATAATAATAAAGAAAAAAGTGTATTTATCACCTGCTGTATCTCTTTCAGCCTGATTTACTTGGCTGGCACAAATTTAGTTATTTTCATTTCAATTTTATTGCCATGTTTGAAAGAAAATGAGGTGGGATTTTTAAAATGAATCCTACTGCATTGTTTACAAAGACTTGATCCACGGTGCTTACCCTTTCCCACATAGAATATCTAGTACCTTAAAATTGTCTACAAGTTAAACTGCTGTTGCACAGATTAAAATAGCTGAATTTTATACGACATAAACAAGGAACAAACATCGTGAACATTAACTTTTAAATTTCTTCTTTCACAAGGATTTTTGGACCCTGAAAAGAAGCTTTTTTCCCATCGGATATTGTCAAGGGATGAATGTATTGATCCATTTTCTAAAACTGGGAATCTTAGGTACGTATATGGTTCTTGTGCATTAAACAAAGCAGGACAACAGAGAAAGAATATGCTAAATGTAATAAAAATTACTCCTTCTGTACTTAACATGTTTTTAGTCCTTCCTTATCTGCCTCTGAAGTATCAACACTGTCTCAGTAAAACTGAGATGTTTAGTATTGCAGCATTTCATCTACTTAATGTGTTCTGTGGTACTAGAGCAGTAAGAATGCGAAGCCATGGCTTCGTGTTTTTGTGTATACTTTTTATTCTTACAAGAACTTAACTATATTTCCGCTTTATGGCTTGTGATCTTGTATAATGACTTGTATGTTGTGTTAGGCTTTTTTTAATTAAACCAAAATTCTGAGTTTGAGGTTAATTCCTACCTGAGTGTCTAGTATTCTGCCTTTCAAATGTGCCAGACATTAGCAGCTTCTGTTCTGCAGTGTTTCTTGAAATTAGGTCATCTAGAGCCTTGAATTCATATTCTAGTCTAAATTCAGGTTCTGATATCTTTCAGAATATAAAGCCAAGATTTATTTTTTTCTTTCAAAAAAGATTAAAAATTATTGCCTCCTCCCCATCTGAAGCTTTTTCCTTCTCTTGCACCGTTTTCATACGCATCCTTATATCTGAAGTATTCTTCCTAGATGATATAAATATTAGTACTTATTGCTTCCTTTGTCTTGGATTGAATCAGTCTGCTCTCCAAAAACCATTCTTGTGTCATTTTCCTAGTTATATATATATAGTGTATTGCCAACGTGACAGTTGGCTTTGGGCTGTTTGTCAACATAAACTGTGCAAACTAGACCAAAATGTTGTCATGTTTTGTTCTTGCAAAGGCATGTTGGTTCCTGCTTCTAGCCTTTGAGATAGAGATTTTAATATAGCTGTTTCCTTTTTTTAATAAACTTTTTAAGTAGTTTGAATATTGTGTTTTGAATTCTGTAATTTTAATGTTGCTGAGGTTTTTTGTAAATTCATATATGAGCACGTCCTGCAGATGTGCTCATAATAAACCAGGACGTCAACAGAAACTATGTTTGATAGGATTAATTTCTAAAACTGGATTCATTTTATCACCTGTTTTGTCTCTTAGAGATCTCTTCCCATGTGGGGACTCCATGGTTTGCATCATTGATGACAGAGAGGATGTTTGGAAGTTTGCACCGAATTTGATAACTGTGAAGAAATATGTATACTTTCAGGGGATAGGAGACATTAATGCACCTCCTGGATCAAGAGAAATTCAAATGAAGAAGAAAGGTAACTATGTAATCTGTAAACTGCTTTGACAACTTTTTCCACTTTCCAGATGTGATTGATGTGAGTTATTGTGGTGGTCTGACTAGTATTGCCCTCAGATGAGCAGTCCTAGACCATTGCAGTTGACAGTGCGCTCCTACAACGCAGATGCAAGTAACTTAGTGACACTGGACTGTTCTTGACAGCTTTCCTTTCAGTGGGCAGCTACAGCAGAAGTGGAGTACTGGCCATAGCATTTTGGCTGTTGTGGCTGGAGAGTTGACATGGCAATACCCTAAATCATTCAAGAACATGTAGAGAAGGACAGTTTCTCTCTTTTCCCCTCCACATAAACAAGGCAGTTTTTTCTTCTCTGTAGATGGTCAGGGAACCAACTTCCTCTTCATTCTCCTTTTCAGTCCCCTCCCCTGCCCCACTTTGGAGCAATAGTTAATAATCTCTGGTGTCAACCTACTGCTGAAAATGAATGTTTTGTTCTCTACTTACCTTCCTGCCTAAACCATGCTCATAAAATTAGTGTGGGACTTGCTGAGCATCTACTGAATGTGGTGTTCTGGCATTTGATAGGAGCACCTCATGTCCAGCAGGCTCAGCAACATAATACAGATAATAGATTTAGAAGGTATACATCACTATGTTAGTATTAATTTGGGGGCAAAATGTGTTTGAAAGACAATGGCTAAGAAAGAACTGCAGGGTTTTTTCCAGTTTAGCCAATAATTTTTTTGGAGGTTTTTTTAACAATTTAGTATCTGTGACATCAGTCTTTGTCCATTGTTGAACTAGAGATGCCCGATATGGAAACAATATTCATGTCCTCAGGCTGGATCAGGCCACTCTGGTGCAGGACCTCTGTGCTTGACTGGTATTGTTACTGGCAGGGCAGGGATGTGCCCACAAAAGAAAGACAAATAAGAGTGACTCCATCCAGTGTTTCTGATGAACGTCTGTGTACAAATTTCTGGATGCCTGTTTCTTTGTCTCTTTCCTCTTCTGCAAATCATAGAATCATAGAATGGTTTGGGTTGGAAGGGACCTTAAAGATCATCCCGTTCCAACCCCCCTGCCAGCAGCAGGGACACCTTCCACTAGACCAGGTTGCTCAAAGCCTCATCCAACCTGGCCTTGAACACCTCCAGGAGGAGCAGCCACAGCTTCTCTGGGCAACCTGTTCCAGTGTCTCACCACCCTCACAGTGAAAAACTTCTTCCTAATATCTCATCTAAACCTCCCCTCTTTCAGCTTAAACCCATTTCCCCTTGTTTTGTCATTAATTGCCCTTATGAAAAGTCCCTCCCCAGCTTTCCTGTAGCCCCTTCAGGTACTGGGAGGCCACTATAAGATCTCCCCGGAGCCTTCTCTTCTCCAGGCTGAACAGCCCCAACTCTTTCAGCCTGTCCTCATAGGAGAGGTGCTCTCCTCTCCTATAAACTGAAGACACACCCTAAAACTATTTTTCTGCCTTTGAGGCTATTACCCTGGACTTGCATTCCAACAGCGTTCTCAAATGAACCTTGAATGGCATCTTTGTCTTGCTAAAACATTTATATCTTTTCAACTATTAAAATATACTTATTTTGGTTATTAAATAAAGGAAATACATGAAAGCAATGGCAGTTTAGAAAGGAAGTTCTTGTTGTTGTAGTTCTGGATTGAGACCTTCTGAAGTGAATTCTGACTTTTATGTTGTTTTTTTTTTTCCCCTGCTCTGCAGTAGTTTCATTGCCCTGAGATGTAATCGTAGAACTCATGCTACAAGATAAATATCTTGATTTTTGTGTAGTTAACAATTACTTACTACTGGTTTTGGTTTGTTTTTTTTAAAACTGCTTACACAGCTTCTTTGCAAAAGTAGTTTGTTAGGTTTGCCAGTTCTTTCTAGTAATCATTGATGCCTAAAGTATTTTTAAAACTTTGAAAAGCCTAGTTGTCACTTCTAAACATAGTGAAGTCTAACTGCATGTATAAACATAAGTGTTTAAGGAAAAATAAAATCTTGATTAAACTTAAACATATACCTATTTTCTCTGTTTATTTTTTTTTATTATTTATTTCTTTCCTGTGTCTTAGTAAACCACTCTACCAAACCAGAGGCACTGGATTCAGCAGTGACATCAGCAAAAGATGCTGAAGAAATAAAGAATACTACATATGTTGAAGAACAAAGCAATGGTCTCAAGAAAGCTGCAAAGGACGCTTGCACTGCAAATGGAAGTACTTCTGTAAGCAGTGAAACATCTGACTGGAATGTGACCTCTCAAGAGAAAGTTAATGCCCAGGACTCCTTGAATGATCACAAAACGGACAGTGAGGTCACTAATGATTTGACAAATATAAAAGAATCTCAGATTTTTTCAGAACAAGTTGATAAAACGGCAATAGAGAAGCAGCAAACCCAAGATAAGACAACAAATGACTTGGACTTTGAACTGTCTAGTGACAGTGAAAGTGACAGTGGATTAGATCCCAGAAAGTCATCTGCTTCTGTATCAGATAGTGAGAATGAGGAGAAGAGAAGCTGGAAGAAATCCAAAACACCTCTGCAGGATGAAAATTTGCAGAAAGGGAGTTGCACTGATGTGAGTGAGAAAAAAGATGGTCTGGTGAACCATTCTGGGGACACACAGTCTCTACCTAGTGAGAATGTTCATGACAAAACTGACCTTGAAGCACAAGAAGAAAGTGAACAGGAGAGCCTTTGTGATTTAGGAAACGGGTGTACAGACAAGAAAGAAGCTGAAACAGAGTCTCAGAACAGTGAACAGTCTGGAATAACAATGGGTGAGTCCTTAGACCAGAGTATGGAGGAAGAAGAGGAGGAGGATGATACAGATGACGATGACCATTTAATATACCTTGAAGAGATCCTTGTGCGGGTTCACACTGATTATTACACAAAGTATGATAAATACCTGAAAAAAGAGATTGAGGAAATTCCAGACATCAGAAAAATAGTACCAGAACTGAAAAGTAAAGTCTTGGCAGATGTAACCATAATATTTAGCGGACTCTACCCAACAAACTTCCCCATTGAGAAAACACGGGAACACTATCACGCCACAGCACTTGGAGCTAAAATTGTGAAGAATCTCGTACTGAGTGCTGATGATCCTGACAAAGCGACACATCTCATTGCAGCAAGGACAGGTAGGTCAATGAGACTTGAATTTTCCATCAGCTTTTTTCCTGTTACACCGTTTTCATGCTGCAAGCTGTCTTCTGTATAACCTACAGGCTTTAATTTGAGATCAGAATTTAAATTAAAGGGAAGATTTTTCCTAAAACAATTTAGAAGCCTCTTTTAAAAGCTTTTTTTTTGCTGCTTTTTGGTCAAGTGTGGCTTTTAATTGTTAAAAAGAGGACCCACAAAAACCTCTGAGGTGATGTGTCATGCCTCATTTTGGTTAAGAGTTGGTGATACTGGGTCTGTGTTAAAAACTTTGAATAGAAACTTTAACATTTGTGTCAGAGAAAAGTTTATACTGGTTTATACTTCCTGTAAAGTCATAGCAATGCTTGTGTTCTTGGCTTTTCAGATTTCACTTCTCATGATTCAGTTTCACTTTGTATGGAATTCAAACGCATTATCTTAAGGGACTGGAATCTGATGATACCCTGTCACCATTCTCTGCGTAGCCTGTGTGTCTTTGTCATGGGGGATGTAACAGAGCTTAGCCTAATTTTTGATCTGTATTTCCCAAAGCTGCCTGGTTTTACACAGCTATAATGGGCAGGAATGTACCATTGCTTAGCTGCCGTAGAGGAGCAAAGAGGCCACCATGAGCTTCTAGTACAAGTTTTTTGTGTGCACCCTGACCCTTGCTGCCCTCACTGTTGACTCTTTGAAGGTGCATGAAATTTAAATCTCTTGTGCTAGTTTCACTGGGTTGGCACTTGGCTGCAGCCAACACAGCCACTCACTCACTCCCCTCCCAGGGGATAAGGGAGAGATTGGGGGGCGACGGTGAGGAGACTTGTAGGGCGAGATAAGAACAATT